ATAGATACAGAGAACATTTTGATGGTTGCTAGATGCCAAGGGGGTTTGGGGGATGTGAAAAAGGTGACGGGATTAAGAAGTACAAATAGGTAGTTACAAAATAGTCACAGAGAAGTAAAGTATAGCATCAGGAATATAGTCAACAATATTATAATAACTATAAGTGGTGTCAGATGGGTACTCTATTTATCCAGGTGATCACCTCATAAGTTACATTAAATGTCTAATCTCTATGTTGTACACCTAAAACTAATACAGTTTTGTATGCCAATTGTAATTAAAAAAATATATATACACATATATTTTTACAAAATAAGAGAGAGAAAGATCACAACCATTCTGGTAGAACGATGCATTTCCTATAATGGTTTCCACTGCATAATGATGATAGAGTTGTGTTTTTCACTGCCTCTCATGCTTACCTCCACATTTTGGGATTGGTCCACTCCACATCACTTTTCCATCCATTAGAATACATGTAATTGTTTCTGTTCCTTGGGTTTTAATAAATCCTTCTTCACAAATAACTGAAATTGAACTTCCTAATTGAAAGTTGTCCCCAAATCGCCGTGCATTGATCGGTATTCCAGGATCAGGACATTCATTATGTCCAAACGCTTGAGAACAGCAAATAAACAAAACACACAAACAGTATGAGAGAAACACTTAAGCATTTGAGGTGAGAAAAAGTAATTTTTAAAAAGGGTATATTTATAGAAAAACCTTTATCTATTAAAAAAATAATTGGAGTCTCTCCTGACTATATCTATTTGCCTCTGATGTGTAATAGGTGTGATTGTTTTAAAATATGAATTTTATTCTGTGATTATAACATTTCAAAATAGAACTGTTTCTGCTTATTTCTGGAAATTATTAAGCTTAGTCTATGCAAAGATTTCCAGGAAAACCTAATCAAAATTCCAATTAATGTGAATATAGAGCAGGCTGACTATATCCCATAGCAAACTTTTCTCATGATTCACTGTTTGGAATGGAGAAACAGTCTAATTGTGGGAATTAAGGAGAAATGTTTCATTCTGGTATGAAAGTCTAACAATTTCTTTATAATTTTCCATGTGTCATCTATTTTCTACTATCTATAAAAAGGGAAGAGAAATAACTTTTTTTGGAATTACCATGTTTTGGATACTGTGATAGGGACTTTAGAAATGCTATCTCATTTAACATTTAGACCAACCTGATGAGACATTTACTTTGTGAGAGTCAGAAAAAAGTTAAGTAGCTTGCCTAGAAGCATAGAGACAGGATTAAAATGTATCTCCTGGTCTGGCTTTTAATCTTCTCTCAATAATATATTGCATCTTGGGTTATTTGTCTCATGTCTCTCAAGAGAATATGACTTCTTAAGTTCCAGACCACTATTATATTTTACTGTGAATCTCCCATGGTGTGTACTTAGCCCAGTGCCAGCAAGGAGCAGAAGTGTAGCGACAATGTGCTTTTTTGAACTTCTCAGAGATTATAGATATACAAAAATATACACAAATACAGATACACAAATTTTCTCCTTATTCATGACCCAATATGTACTGTGTTTAAATTAGTATAATATAAATTAAAAAAATATTTAAAGTAGCAAAATCTAAATGTGTAAAAACATATTTTGAGGTCTTTACAATTTAATATTATATTCATACTGCTTAAGTACATGCAGTTATTTTAAATTTTCTTACTAATCATGACTTTGATATTGCTCATAAATTATATAATTTTATTATCCATTCTCATTTTTAAGTGAAATAATACAAAATAATATTAAGATAAATTCTAAAAGAGATAAAATATATTTCTTAGGTACACATATCTAATCATTGTTTTCTCTATGCTTTTAAAGACAATTTCGATTACTCTTAGTTGCTCCTATACAAAATGCTTCATAGATATTTTTTCAGGAAAAAAATTCCAGTAGTAAACATTAAGTAAAAGAATTTACATGTAATAGATTAAATTATTTACTAGAGAAAAAAAAAGGAACAAGGAGATATATTTTCAAAATACCCAGAAAATACCAAAATACTGAAGTTAAAAATATGCATTTAAAGACGAAATAAAAATAGATAAGTACATATCTTTCCTTATATATATGAAGTATTTTAAAAAGGACTTTCAATTAAAGCATTCATTTTACACAGCGTCTCTATGACACGTCACAGCCAATTTAATGTTAATGATGTGTAATTGCATGTTGACACTTATCAGTGACAGTATTCACCACCAGTTAACTTTGAAAAGACAATTAACTGTGCTTTGTTACTAACTGCCAAAGTTCAGTACTGAATGAACAGGGATGGGGGTGAAGGATGCAATTCTTTTTTCAAAGGCAGGAATCTAAATGCTATTGTTATATGATGCTTAAATATTAACATGTCAAATTGGTCAATATCTGACATTGAAAAACAATAAAAATCACTAGTATTCTATGGCCTCAGGTAAAACATTTGCAAACAGAAGCATTAATATGTAAGTATAATAGCCTACTAAGATAGTTTTTCCTTTATGTGACTTATCTTTTGGCTATATTTATGCCATTTTTTTCAGAAAAATAATATTCATTCTTTGAACTACATGAATATGAGGGATAGACAATAGCTAAATAACTTGAAAACATCTTAAATCTGGAGCAATATATTAAACACAATAATATAATATCAAATGTCAAGGTAATAATTCAAAAACCAACTAAACAATAATACCTAATGTTTATTGAGCATTTATTAGGAACCATATACCTATGCTAAATTATCTACATGCATCTCCTAATTTACTTCTTACAGAAACTCAATATGGTTTTCCTGATGAGGGCACTGAAGCTCAGTTACTAAACCTAAAAATGTAGCAAAGCCAAAATTTGAAGTTGTGTTGTTTCACTTTAGAGCCTATATCCTTAATCACTAAGGTATTCTTTTCTCCCATGGTGGTTTTACTAAATCCTCTCAGTGGTCTACTGCCCTATGTTAATGAATTCCTTATTTGCGATGCTTCTTTAGCCTGTGATTTCGTTTTTGGAATTATGACTCTGTGCTATAATGATTCATTAAAGTCTCCTATTGGATTATGAATATCTTGATGAAAGGATCTATCTCCCTTTTATTTCTTCATAGCAATAACTGAGCAAAGTATGTGACATATACTTCTGAGGTTATGCATATAAGATTTAAAAAAATAAGCTAATAAATTGGCTGATACAAAAATGGTATTTGAAATACATACTTCCTTAATATCAGGCCTCTCATAAACAAAGAGAAAGGACACAATAGGGAGTAAAACATGGTTGGAAGTTCAGAACCAAATGACCATCCATGGCATAATTATGTATATTGCTTATTCAGGTTTCCTTATCTATGTAACAACAGAGCTGATATGCATGATCCTTTCTAGCTCTACTTTGTAAAAATATGGTATATGGAAAAAATAAACTTACTGTTATAAGTGATGTTAAAACCACGTCCTGACATCGAGTGGTCGGCTTGAAACTCCAATCGTAGGATATGACTATTACTAGTAAGATGGGAAGGCACTTCGGCGCCAGTAAAGGTTCCAAGAATTGGGGAGTCTGGAGAGTCACCATCTTTAACAGCAAGGAAGTCAAACTGGGATTCCAAATCAAAGTCATTGAAAGAAAGGTGTATCCGACTGCCTGGATCAGAGATTATTGTCCAGATGCAGTTTAAATTATTTCCATACCCGTCCGGGTAATCAGGAGAAAGGACCGTTCCCATTGGTGCAGTAAAGTTGGAAAGGCAAGGAACTGTTAAAATAAGATTATAAAATATAATAAATGTTCAAAAGTAATATTTTATCATATCCTACAATTTTGATAATCAGTTTGAAAAAATAATATTAAACAATGTAAATTATCTTATAAGACAGAAAAGTTATCATTTTTACATATTAGAAAGTACAACTATGACTGTATGCTTAAATATGCACAAAATATAATTGGAGCAATAGCAGCAGTTTGTTTTGACATTTATCAAGTTCATGTCAGAGTGTTGTGAAAATTTTTTGTTTATATGCTTAAAAAATAATATTGGAGAACAAAGATTTCATAGAAAGCGATAATACTCATGAAATAATTGAAGACAAAAAATATATGTGACTATTAACAGAAATGAGATGACAAAGCCCAGAGAAAACTTGAAATGTGAGTGGTGACTCAGTGAGTTTCACCCTACTATGGTCATGGGATGCTCTGCTAGTTTATAACACAGGTAAGGAGATGAATTAACTTTTCTAATAGCCACCACTGGGGGGCTAACACTAGAAAAACAACTGAACGCTCATACCATGCTAAGATGAAGTCCTCCCACCATCCCGTTTTCTGTTTTAAACTTTTAAAACATCTGACTTAAAGGTTCACATAGAAGAACATTTAGAAAGCAGAAAGAGGAATAGAAAGAAACAGAAAAGTAAATGATCACACAGAGGAAATCATAGTTAAAATAATGATGTATTCCAGTAGTTTTTATTACATGGTTTAACAACATTGAAGTCATACAATTTTGCACTAAATTTTATTTACAAAGAATTAGGAACTATGAGCCTTGGAATATTTTCCTAAATTTCTGCCCAGAAAAGTTATTAATTTATACTGAAATATAACAGAAACGTGTTAGGACAACACCCCTACCAGCATAAAATAGTGTGACTATTTTATCTTTCTTATTTGATAAGAAAAATGACATCTCATTGCACAAATTTGCACTTCTTTGCCTACTAGTGAAGTTGAAGATTTCTCATGTTTGTTAGCCATTTATATTTTCTCTCTTTTGGGAATAACTACTCACAAACTCTGATCTTTTAAGATTATGAAGTCTTAGTTTACAATATTCACACAATATTACAATCCATACATTTTATTATTTTGTTACTATTTTAGAATAATTTGTTTTTATAGTATTACAAATAATAATCTCTGCATTTTTCCTTGATTTTAAGTTTAGATTTTTTAACAGTCATAAATTAGACCAATATCTACCTCTGTATCTACAGAAATATAAAGACAAAGATTATGATATGCTTATATATATGCAGAATATATAAAATATGTAAAAATGATAAAAATTATATGTATATATTAATTATCACTCTTATAATTCTTTTTTGTTATATAATTTCTAATTTAAATTTGCTTTTTCTGTATGAAATGATGTTAAAAGTTAAAACCAGGGCCTGGAAACTTGACTGCCATTGGGGTGAATCCAGACTGCAAATGTCTTTGGTTTAATCTTTTCTTATGCCCCAATAAATATATGAAATTACCTTTGAAAATCATCATACATGAGGAGAAAAAAATCTAGAGTTGTAGCTTCTTTTGAAAAATTAATGCACTACAATTTCTATCACTTCCTTAATGGGGACACACATACTTGGTCCTGTTCCCTTGACACACTTTTACCTGCCTGTATCTTGGAATCATTGATTCTATAACCCTTGATCTAAATTAAGGTTCAGCAAACTTTTTCTTTAAAGGGACAGAGAGTAAATGCTGTGGCTTTACAAGCCACATGGTCTCTGCCACTGTAGCAAGAAATAATAGGCAAGTGAAAGTAAGTGGTAATGTTTTCATAAATTTTTTAACAAAACTGGGCTTCAGGCTAGATTTGGTCCACAGTCCTTACTTACTTTGCCAAACTGTGATCTAAATGATCCCCACCTGGGGCAAGGGCTCGTCTAAATCTACCATGCTAATCTCCCTTATCAGAGCGATAGGTGGATGTCTATCTAATACTGTAGTACCCCCATATCCTGTTTTGCTTTCTGGGATTCAATTATCCATAGCCAACCTTGGTCTAAAAATATTAAATGAAAAACATCCAAAAATAAATAATCCATGTTTTAAATTGTAAGGTGTTATGAGAAGCATGATGAAATCTCGTACTGTACTGTTCCATCCATCTAGATATGTGAATCATCCCTTTGTCCAACATACCCGCACTGTTACATGCTACCCATCCATCTGGTCACTTAGTAGCTTCTCAGTTATCAGATACACTATTTAGGTATTAGTATCACAGTGCTGGTCTTCAAATAACCCTAATTTTACTTAACAATGGCCTTAAAGTACAAGAGTAGTGATGCTGAATATTCAGATATGGCAAAGAGAAGCCATTAAATGCTTCCTTTAAGTAAAAAAGTGAGTACAATACAATATGATATTTTGAGAGAGCGAGAGATCACATTCATATATCTTTCATTACATATAATTATACATATTAAATTATTGTATTATTGGTTATTGTTAATCTCTTACTGTGACTAATTTATTGATTAAAATTTATCATAATTATGTATGTATAGGAAAAACAGTATAGACAGGGTTTAATCCTGTCCATGGTTTCAGGCATTCACTAAGGGTCTTGGAACGTATGCCCCTCAGATAAGGTGGCTACTGTACTCTAAACCTTTAAATTACAGTAGATGTAGTTTTTATGTAACTTCTTTTAATAGTGTTACATATACATTTTACATAACTTGTTTTAATAGCGTTATATGTTCCTAACTTAGTGTTATAGTTTTGTGAGTACCAAGCTAATTTTATGGTAATAACTTCATATTTTGCTTTAGTATTCACATAGCATTTATTCTTGCTTTTTTAAACCTATGTGTCAATGCATTAAGTCAAGTTCCCAAAGAAATCGTGTTAGAATTTTTATTAAAATTTCAAAGCAATTTCTATGTAATTCACACCTTTAATATAATGTTTTCTCATTCAGGAACATGGCAGCTATTTCATTTTTTTCTCATAAAATTTCCTTTTCTCAACCAGTTGATAATTTTTTTTCCTATGAATTATGTGAATTAATGTAAGGATGATTTCTATGTTTTTTGTAACTTTATTTTTCTGAAAAAATTTTCTGTCAATTACATTTTCAAATTACCTAATGTTAGTATATAAGGAAACTATTAATTGCCATATATTTATAAATCAGGATGAAGATCTTAATTCTCTTTAAAACAGTAAAGTCATAAAGATTTTCAAAAGTTTTAAATTTGGTTTTAGTCATCATTATTTTAGATATTTTATTACACATATTTTAGCATCTATTGAAATTATTTAAAAATATTTTCATTTTTGATGTGATATATTACATTAATAGATTCTCCACTATTACAGCAACATGTCTCCTTGGAAGACCACGTAGAACTAAAGATCTTGAAGTGAAGTCTTTTGAAGTATTACTAAGCTTTAGATGACACTGACATAATCGAATCAGACTCTTCTAATGTATTTTCTTCTCTCACAACAGGAACTTCACAAGGTGATCTTAGTTAGGAGTGAACACTGGCCCTAAACTGAAAGAGTTCTATTAAGGTGGTTTGTGCACTCTTCCTTTCTTAGGTTTTCTGAAGAACAAACAAAATATACTTTAACTAGGAAAATTTCTGATCCTAAAAATATTCACTTTGCTGAAATGTAAGATAAGTTCACATGGCGATATGTATCTAGAACATTATAATGAGAAACAGTACTGTTCACTTGCTATTTTCTGTATTTCTTTTTAACTATGAAA